ATGCATGATGAATGCATGCCACGATGTGTTCCTAGCCCTTTCACAATTATCGTTGCGCATTCGTCCATTTCTTAACCTTTTTCATTTGTGTGATTTCACTTGCTCTCCATCAAAAACTAAATTCCGTGTTAGCATATGGCCTGCAGTGTAACAGGGTATCGAAAATGGAAGCAAAGTTTGAAGGTACAATATACTAGGCTGAACATTCGGTCCGATTTAAGGTTGTTACGTCAGTAGAATTCCCCACCCAAAACACTGCAAGGGTCACACGCATGCAATGTGACTCGTCCCAGCACGCAACACTGCGACAGAGCACACACTCAGCAAAAACTCACTCACCTTTCGGGCTTGACATGTCTGTGCGAAAAGGTGGATCAAGCATAAGTGGGAACATGACTTGCAGATTCGTTGCGGTAAGATAACGATCGCATCAAAATGCCAGATCAAGATCCACCTTTTCCCAGTTCAAGTGGAAACGCGCTGTAGTTTCATCCAAACTGGATCAGTAGTAAGTAATTATAAGATGAACAATCACTCTGGCACCCATTTCCCTAAGGCCAGTCTGACCTGTCAATCATGGCACACTGGCTGTGAACTGCTGATGGTGTAAATAATGGAACTGTTCAAAAGCATAGGCGCAGTTTGAATTTTTTTTTTATTTCTCAGAATATATTTGGTGTATTTTTATGATTCAAAGTTGGTTACCCAATATTTTTTGACACTTTTCCCAGTGCCACACAGTATAAGTAAGAACCTAATAGACTTATGTGGATTTTTTGTCAGCAAACCCAGCGGTAGTGCCATCACCAATCACTTGTTCATTATTTGCGAACTTTTGATCAGATAAGAAACATTGGAATGCAAGCTGCTTGATCAAAAACCAGTGAGTTCCAACCAGAGTTTGTCATATAGGCAGACTCGGATCTGCTCCAAATGGGTGATTCAGGTAATGGATAAAATAGAACAAAATTGCTTTCTCAGCCAAGTTGCATAGAACAACCATCATGAATGCCCCGTAGTCCATGGATTTTGTGTCAGACACATACCATGATCTCTGCTTTCATCATTGCAAGACACTTCGTTTTTTTTTTGTTTCTCAAAGCAGCAAGCTCTATTAACAGTGGCATGATACCCGTACATGTACATGTAGCTGCAGAATTATAAACCCCCAATCTTGTAAACTTACAGTCAAACAGAAAGGACTAAATTAGGGTTAAAGGATCTACATGTACATTTTTGGAGGCATGTGGCCCAGTGGTTAGGGTTCAACTGCTGATCATAGAGATGGGACTTTTAATCCAGGTGGTAGTAGCATGTTGTATGTGTCTCTACCCACCCACGAGTAGATGGGTACCTGTGAGGGCGGCGGTTATTATGCCTACATGTAGCTGTTTACACCTCATATGACAGCATCAGGTTAGTACTTGTATGTGGGTACACTGTACATGTACATGTATGTACATGTATATTCAAGCTGAGAAATTGGGAGCCCAGTGTGTACGGATAAATGTAATACCGGTACATTGGTCCCTTTGAATGTTAGATACTCTGCGCCTTATAAATAGTTTGATTACAGGTGCTGAAGTGTCCCTCACTAGACACGTGTATACGTACACATGCACACACATGCACATTCACCTTTTACCGGTACTGTGTATGCAAAGAGTAGTTGATGAGCTGTGACATGAAGGAACAAAATGGATCCCTATACTTTCCACATATGCTTTTCTCTTATTTCTAACCGAGAACATTCCTTTTCAGATTCGTGGCCATAACATTTCCAATTTGGATCCGTTGGGAATCAACAATGCTGATCTGGATGGTGAAACACCCAAAGAGCTCCTTACTAAGAACTATGAGTTGGGTAAGGGTTGCTCGAATAACAGGCAGCACTCTAGTATGAGCTGTCATTCATGATTTCTTCTTGTGCCTCACACTCATTTTTTTAAAAGTTTTGCTGTAAAAAACACTAACATTAGATATAGAGATTCTGTCATTTTTTGTTATGGGCAGATTAACAGACAGTGTTATTCATTGGGATCAGACTTCATGTACTGAAAGATACCATTACATTAATTTATTGTGACACTTTTTTCACATGTGGTAAATGTTACAAATTCCATAGTAAATCATAAGTACTAAACTTTGATTAGAAACTTGTAACCTTTTTACACGTAAATGAGGTTAATGATGTTAATGTGCTTTGAAACTGAGTTTCAATATGAGATCACACTTACACTTTGGAACAGTTGCTGATACATGTTCTGCACAATTTTTTAGTTTGTCTCTCACTCTTGAAAATAATTTATTTTTTAAATAAGTCATTTTAAGGAATCCCACTGTGTAAAACAAATGTTGACCTACTGCAGCAGGTGCAATATTGAAAGTTCTACTTCAGAAGACAAGAAAAAAGGCAAAAGTCAGACATTCCTCTATCTTGGCATAAGATCAAAGACCAAACCATGTGCTCTCAAAACATTCAATACTCAGCTTGATAAAGTTTGGACTGATGTTAGATTATGTACAGATACATGTGAAAATGTCACGCCCAATCCCAAATACACTAGTCTTGGTTCGAAGACCTTGTAGTTTATTTTGAGATGACAAACCAACAGTGTTACAGAGTACAATGTCTAGATGAACAGCTTCATCGTAGGAAAGTCTTGGATTTCGTTTGACATGTTTGATCTGGAGCAGCAACATTCAGACTATGGTAATAATGGTAGGGTATGCATTATTCACATCATGCGAGTGATGATTGACAGAAATTATGCAGATGACACATAGCATACAGTAGTTCACTTTCGCACATGATGGTTTCAAAGTGCAACGTCAGCTAAGGTGATTCCCTTAGACACTCAGAGCTACACGTACACACAAATATTCTTCTACAACTTGAGGGTAGCAGTAAAGAACTTGATATTAATGCATATGAAAGAAAAATATATACCATTGTTATTAATGCATATGAAAGAAAAATATATACCATTTCTAATTTTGCCATCTGTCTTGAGTTAAGTGGCATGTTTTACATGGCACAGTCATGGCATGTCATGTCTCCACTTGCTTTAGCACCATGATTTTGGCCCATTTCTCCCTCCGATTCATCAAGAACAGGTAGCTTCATGTACATCATAAAAAATAATCTACTAGCATACCTGAAAGCATGTTGTAACCACCTCATCACAGCACTTTACTTTAAAACACATATGCACCGCGTAGTCTGAATTAATCCATATCAGCTAAAAGCAATACATGTACATGTACAGTATGAGGGTCTTGGAACCATGGACAATTTAAAAAGCAATGTGCAACTGTTCCATGTGTTTTACGGATTGCTGTTCACTTTTCTTGAGAAACCTAATGACCATGTGACATATGTTGTTCGCAAGTTTCAATTTACTGGGTTTTTGGCGGAATAGTTTTCTTTATCACTTTTAAAGAGAAAGAAATACCGGTACATGCAGAAATTTCGATCAGGTTTATAATCTTTCTTGCCTTCTGAGATTAAACGAATCAGTTGTATTTTCCAGAGTAATCCTTCGAACATGCGTGATTGGGGTTGTCATTTTGAATCCACAAGTCTTGACTGCACTTTACATTTATAACCAAATTTTCTTAAAACTGTGGTACATTTGGTACACTGTGTTTTGAAGAATACTATACCCCAACAGACTAACACCATTGAAAACAAGTTGAAACTCTCTTACCACTTTAAAACAATAAGCCTCTTCCAGTTTCGCCCCGAAGGAAGGGTGGTGTGACTTGACCCACACAAGATGAATTAAAGACCAAATTTTACTCTGCCACTTGCTGCAAACAGAATGTTGCGGGAGGCCATGGATATTTTTATATGGATTTTTAAAAAAATTAACATAATATAAAATTAATCACAATTTAATAATAAACCACTCGATGGCGTCATTATGACGTAATTATTATCTTATTTTATCTTGGTTTGCATGCTTGTAGAGTTGTTGCGTTGCATTTTATATGTACAATGTATGGCTAAATATCCACTGATGAGTCAACCAGACGCGTCATATTCCGTATGCACAAACTGTGCGCCGGTAATCAGACTATGGGCTGGGTGCACATTTATGTACACACGAGTACGAACGTGTATATTCAGCCTAAAATTAAGTCTCCAGAACCAGTCACGAATATGAATACTTGTAGCGAAATGGCCCGGTTCGCGTGTAAATAAAAATTCTTCCTTGAATTTAGACTGAACAAAATGGCTGTTGCCAGTTATGTATTACTGATTGTTGGGATGATTTTTGTTACCGGTAGTTGTAGGAGTGTCGAAAGGCTTATGTCAAAAGTTGCTTATCAATTTTCACACACTGTGTGGGGAGCTGGGTGTTCCCATTGCTTTGGAAAAGATGGGGGGTCCTTCTCAAGGTCTTATGTATATGTATACTTTAAATGAACATTAATGAATGGCAAGTTAAGGTAACGGTACCCCACAAGAAGGTTGATATGCTCCCCAGTCATATTTGGGCATGCTTGCAAAGCAAAAGGCGATGCTCATCACAATTTAGTCCATGGTCCGCTCGCTCAATTTTGTGTGTAGAGCTATTTTAAATCGGTGTAGTTTACGATTTTTTGGCACATTTATATGACTTTTCAAATATCCCTTATCGACTTTAATATCGTGCAATATCGACAGCAACCTCTGCACTGAGCCACAAGGAAATGTTCCCTCTGAATTATTGTTATTATAATTAATCAGTTCTGGTAATTGTCACCACTGACTTAACTAACCACATCTAACTCACAAACTGTGCTAACTTAGTGTAGCATGAATTTTACGGGTCTTTGGTTGCCCCCAAACAGCTTCGTGCAGACATTAAAAATGATTTTAATAAAAATCTTCTCTTAAATTAATTATCACATACTGTATAAATAACAGTTAAATACTATGGCACAAAAATACACCAAGTTAATTTTTTGTTAGTATCTACAAACATTTACAAAATCGAAGGTTGAATACAAATGTTTAGATCTTTAGGTGAAGGTTGCAAAATCAATGATGGTGCGTTTCACTTTCATTCTTGCTGAAACCGAAATTAAGTCTGGTTGTAATTTAAGTCTACATGTTCAGAAAATTTAAAACAAAGTACATGCATACAACTAAAGGAAAATTAAGTGGCTACAGGAGTCACTTATGGGATGCAGTGATCTAGAGAAAATTACAATCAACTAGTTTAATTAATTTTTCAACGCTAACTCTTGCTAGTCCAATGCTATTTTAGTTACTTAAACTCTGCTAAAGCCAAAAAAAAAATATTTGAAAAATATGTATAAATTTAGGTCCCACCGCCAATAGGTTTGATTATGTGTTTCCACATCAAAGGTCATCCTCTTGCCCTAACCATTGGCTTGAACCTTGCCGGAATGTCTGAGTAGGTAGCCGGGGAAAACGTCATGGTCAATGGTGCCACGCATGGTTGGTCTTGGTGGCAGTGCCAGTAGGTAATTTGGCTCGCCTGCAGCCGGCCTCGGGCTTGTCTGCCTCGGGCAGTCAGTGCGGAAATGAAAGAAAATACGGCACTCAGCAAGTAAGGACTAACGGCTCATGCAGCCCTGGATGCCATCTGAATTAAAATCCATGTATAATCACATATTGGAATAATAATTCCACATGGCGATTGAGGTAGCAATAACATTAAAATACAAACAACTATATTGATCGCCTGATGAAATCACTCTAAAACTACTGGATCAAATTAACAAATTTAGACCACTTAAAATGGATGTAATATCCCCATCAATCAGTTTCTGATTGGAAAACAATGCATCCTCCATGGTCTCTTACATGTAGATCGACGGTTATTATTGAAAGTGGTACATGTAGGCAAAATTGAATTTATAAAATAGCAGAATAACGAAAATTACAAAAATTCTCTTGCGAAGACCATCCCTGTTCCAAGACTTGGTTTCTCGGCAGAAATTTTAGCAAGCTTGCTTATAGCAAAAATATTGCAGCAGTCCTGTTTGAGGTGATTGGTGATTCGTGGCAAAAGCTTTTTTGAAAAATCATGGCTGTTGGTCACATGTTAAGGCCATTGTAACAACCTAGTATTGCATAAAACAATGAAGAGACGAGACCATAGCAACATTAAAACTTTATTAATTTATTCATTATGTATTTACACCATAGGACACTATAGTACAGGTACAATAAACACAAACAGTACACACAACACAAAGACATTGAAAAATACAAATCAGAGCTTCTGAAGCATTTATGCATGCAAAAATTAAGGTTCTTGTACATGTATGCTGGGGCGAAGCTGACAGTAATGACACCGAGGATTCCTCAATTTTAGTACCCTAGGTGCTCTAGCTCAGAAGCCTGAAGAAACCTGTACAGAGGAGAAAGTGAGAAACGGTTACAATTTAAGATGTGGTAGAAAAACCCCAGAGGAATATTCTGGGTAAAACCCATGGAATCAGGTAGGGACTGAAAACGCAACCCTCATGTGGACCCTAAACTGGGATTCGAACCTGGACCACAGAGGTGGAAGGCAAGGAAAGACCCACCATGCTAACCTGACTCCCTAAAAAAATTTTGAAAATTGAGCATATCAGATGACATTCTTGTCAGCAAAGTGATGATGCCATCACGGTGTACACCAAATGATGTTCCAAATATTGTTACTCTGATTATCCAACCTTTTTGAATTTGAAGTATATAATTTTGTTGACGTGGCTGAAGTGATTTGACGAGATACATTGTAACTCCGCCACTTCAGTCTGCACTCAGCTGCAGCAATTTTTTTGTAATTTTTTATTACAAACTATACAAAATTAAAACACATCAGTGTTCTGCTATCTCGTCAGGTAGTCCCCCAGATCAGCATTGCTGGCAACCACAATGTTGACGACATCTTCTTCCGAAAGTTTTGGCTAAGTCATTGACAGGATTGTTCTCATCATTGGAGTGAGAAGAAAGAGACTGATCATCTGTCACTGTCAAACAAAACACTGACACTGGGATTGTTAGGCTCAGAGTCTGACATCATTGTATACATGTATGCTATAGCATCTCCTTCATACTACATGTACATGTATGTCACAACGTACAAGACTTGCCAAATGGAACTGATTGTTTTTTCTTTGGTATCTGCCAGACCCCAATTGTATTTTACACACTGTAAATACATGTAGTAAAAAAAAATTGACTTTGTCTCAGTGATATACCGTTGGTCTACTCTACAACATGTATACTCATCAACACTTTCACGTACTGTACAGTAGTAAACTGTACATTAATGCATCTACAGTGTTGGTTCAGTGTAGGTACAGTGTACAGTCCTACAAATACATTTATGCGTGCATGTATTTGTACAGCTTTAAAGCTCAAAACAAAGCAAACAATAACCAGTTTCAGTTACACATGTACATGTATGACAATGGGTGTAGGATTTTCATGTGAAGTTCATTAAATGTAATGATTCTGACTGTACACTGAAGTGAATTTGCAATATACCGGTAGATTACCTGTACATTAAGATGCATGTACACGTACTTGTACATGTACATGTCTGCTTTGTGGAAACAGGTCACATGACTTTCAGCATGTACTGGATGGCTTTTTGGGGGTTCTTTATTAATAATTGTTTAAATCGAGGCCCTTGTTGTTTTTTTTGATTTCTCACTTTGAGTGATCTCAGCATTCTGGACATTTTGTGGATAATATCTCCTATGTTATTTTACTTTGTTTCCCTCCCTGTTTGTTTTGTTCAGTTCTTTTACTGATGGAATGGTATGCCTTTTATGTGGTGGTGGATTTCAAACTGACTTGCAACCACTGATTAGAAAAACAGGTTGCCTATTTTAATTTGCGGTCATATAATTTGTAGTGCTGCTTTAACTGTTGAAGGAAAATGGCAAAAATAAACCTGTGCTTTCATGTAAAGCTTACTTGTTATGCTTTTACATGTACTTCAGTGTCCAGATTGAAAAGAAACTTGATTTGTTTCTTATGGTGTAATTACAGTAGTAACCTCTCACAAGCCCCATTTATTTTTATGATTAACTGTTCAAAACATACAAGGGGTTTTGTGTGAGTGGAGGTTTGGCTGTAAAGGATTAATGTGCTGTGTACTTCAGTTCGCTATGATTCCTTCCCGTGTTCTCTAGGTGAGCATGACATGGACCGGGTGTTCACTTTGCCCCAGACGACCTTCATTGGTGGTGAACAGACTGCCCTACCATTGCGGGAGATCATCAGGAGACTGGAGGTGAGGTGAAAGAGGAATTTTGAGTCACACAAATATGAGAATAGCACATGAAATTATGGTTTTAATGTATGTAAATACATGTAGTATTATCTGTCACCACCTACAACTCTGTTCAAAAATTACCACAGAATTATTACCCCCGATGATGTTTAGGAGGTTAGAGTTATGTATACATGTAGGTTGTTAATGTCTGTCAAAAATGCTGATGTTTGAGACTTGAATTAATCAACTCTTAAAGGAACAAGGAGATAGAAATATGTTTATAAATTCTACTAAAAACCCTTGAAATTGCATCTTTGGGTTTCAATTAACCTGATTTTAAATTGTTGTTTTGCAATTTTAACCCATATTTTGATGCTTTTTGTTTTATGCTAATGCATATTTGCATATTTATGAACATATTTGCATATTCAAGGAACTGTGATGCCATCATGATGGCACTGAATCTCAATGTTGTACTGATTTGTGCACAGAAAATGTCTTCAATAATTTATTGGCTGTTTACATGTCAGTATTTGGCAATAATCTAGCAAAAATCCTTTTCACGGAAATGTTCCCAGATAGCAAATTTGGGATTCACAATTTGAACATGAAATGTGCAGCCTGAACCATGTCTTCCTGGATTGACATCAAAGCAAATGTGCGCTCACTTGTCCAGAAATGCTTAGACAAACTTTAATGTTTGAAAAGTGCACCGTTCAGTTCACGTAAAGTCAAAAAAGATGTCCAACAGTCTTCATACATGGAAGAAGAGTACAGAGATACACAGAAAGTGATTCTAAGAAAAATTCATTTCCTGAATCCTTTAAGTTGAAAGATCGGGATGGTCGATGGTGTTACATTTATTTCAGTCATAACTCTTCATGTCAGTATGCCTGGTGAATTAATTCACAGCTGTTCACTTCAGTAAATAAGAAGCCCCCCAGACGTTCATTGTTATCTAGTGGGTCATATTTTGTAGAACCTGCCATATAATGGTGGTGGTTGTTCTTTCGAAGCACACTTTTTGTGCAAAATCAACCTGACTTTGGTGTCTTATGTGCACTTTAACAGTTGATCTTGCGGTCCTACATTGTTGCCTCCATGTCTGATGATCTGTTGGGACAGATCGACAGGAAATGGTCCCAAGTGCCTAGTTGTTCCACTCCAGACTTGGATTGTTCAACTTACACTGTACTAGCACGAGCATACATGTACATGTGTACAGTACATCATACAAATTCACATGTGTGTATCTCAAATGGTCACAATCGATGTTCCAAAATCTGAAGTTAGCTGTCATTCAGTGCCTCTGGTGCTTGATTAGCCCCCCTCCCCCTTAATTCGTTTGATTACCCTCATTCAACTGACTCAAAAGTCTTGAAATCTCCAGTCGGCTTTATTTTTTAAAGTTACATATTACATACCTGCCAACCGTTCTGATTTAATCGGAATTGTCCCGATTTTTAAGTTTTTAGACCGCAAAAACTCGGAACATTCCGATTTCCAACAAAATAGAAAAAAATAATAAAAAGCATAAAGAGTCATGGCAAAAGAGGGCGCTAAATGTACTGGAAAAAGAGGGCGCCATTGGTTTTTTTTTCATCGGTCTCCATTTTGTGTAGTGACAGCACATTGCTCGCATCTTACATGAGACTTCCGAATTCCGTTGCGAGCGTGTAGTCATGATCAGGCATGTCAGGTGGTGTAACCTCGGTTCAGTAGGGAACCGTCACAAGCATCAAGTTCTAAAGGGAACTGAGAGGCATATATTTTTTATTTAAAGAAGTATTTAACTCAAGGTATGGGAAGAGTTGACGATGACGGGAATTCTCCAAATTTGTAAAAACTGTCCCCCCCCCGAACCACGGACCATTTACCCAGGGATGTACAACTTAAGCTCAGAGCTGGTTCAATGCGTGTTACAGCCGGCACAATATCAAAGCAGAAATTAAATTGGATTATCTCTAATAATAAAACATATATATTCCTGTCTACCACTTTGTTTTCTTGTAATTTTTTAAGTCGGGGTACTGACACCCTTTCTAAAAATATGTTGCTCAAGATATTTCATCTTATACATTTTGAGAAAAGTGTACCACAACATTTGGGAATTTTGCCTCATTAAAACTTTGTTTCTGCTTGAAATCGATTAATAAAGAAGATTTGTTCGCTGAAACAAATAGATCTAAGCACCACAACGGCGAGTCGTCTCGGCATAACCACAGCTGCACTGTACATGCTGCATGCTGCAACACGTGTCATGTGGTCGCGAGTTTATACGAGAAAGTCTAGAGCGCCTGCGGGGGTAATAACAATCTCTAAAATGTATGGAACCAAGGTCGCACATGTGTTTGCACTGGTGCCGCTCGCGGTTTCACATCCCGGGTAAATGGTCCTTGCCCGAACTAAGGGAAATGTGCCAGGAATTGCCTCAGATTGCACTACAGAGCATTTAGAATCCAAATTTTGCTGGGGTCCTTAAGCGGGCCCCATACTCCATACCGTAAGGGCTTCGTGCTCGCAGATGTGTTCGTATTTTTGACTTTCCAATGTTGGCAGGTATGCATATAACCTTATTTATTTTTTTGGAAAGCCAGTTATTTTGCATTTCCTTACACAAATATTAATTTTACTGTATACATATAAATTCTCTTCGTGCTCCCAGCTGTATGGTACCGGTATAGTGTACAGTGTAAGAAAATCATGGTTCAGTTAACAATGAAAATCAATATTCTAAAGGATGGCTCGTTGGTACAGTGGAACGCTGCTATAACGAACAAGATGGGGTCCACGCTAAATGTTCGGTCCAGCGAATTTAACTGCCAAATGTTTCATTGCCGTGTTGAATAGCGCCCTCTCTTGTCTAACCGAAGTGCACCGGCACCCTCTTGTGATACCTTGGTTTGCTGTTTTCGTGATGGTTTGCCATTGCATTCAAGTTTAACTTATCTAGAAATGTATCTGTGAATTTTTTAGATTTAAACTTGAGTCAAAAAATTGATATCAAGTTTGTGTTTGGTAGGTTCTTTGCACAAATTATTGGGAGCCAAGGACAATGTTTGGTACTGCCGAATGTTGGGTATAGCGGCGTTCCACTGTACCTGCCACTCACTTTTTACACTAAGCTTGACGGCATTTTGTGTGACTCATGTGCACGTGGGGTCACAATTGCCAAGATAGACAGCCATGCTGTGTCCATAATGATGACATTGGGAACAAAGACGACTGAACCTACCTGTAGCTGTTACCGTGTTGTGATGGTAATTTGCTTTTCACAAATTTTTTCCAAGTCAATTATTGCATACTCATCTGAATACAGAATTTTGTACAAATTAGAATAACTAAGGTTTTGAGGCTAGGCTTTTTCAATGCGATGATTATTATCAAAATCATTATTTTTTTTAGAACAAAAGATCAATCTGGGTCCTTTCCTAAATATGGGTATCAAAATACTGGAAAAGTTGTTACAGTACCTATATGTACATGTCAAAATACAGCAGTATTTTTTCACTATTAAGCTTTGATGAGTCAATTGCAATGCTTCTGTTGAGTAGCTTTCATTGTGTGTGACATGCATGGGCCGCTGAACAGGCTTTTTTAGTTCTAACTGCAAGCACCTGCACATAAGGAGCTGTTGGACTTGACTGAGCACAGTACCACTCCAGCCAGCATAGAAGCGTGCAAGACATATTTTATTTGTACAAAATGAAATCTTAATCACAGTGCCCCTGTACAAATGTTTTAGTCTTCAGAATTGTCATATTTGAAATGCCAAAAAATGCTTGCTATGATATCGAAAGCATTGTTTTCAGTTCATTGAACAGTTTGCCATACTTATCCAACCTAAAGAAAGAAAATGGATTTTAATTAGAACAACATACCGGTACCCTACAAAAGGCTTGCAGTGCTTTACTTTAGGAACAGAAATTTTGAATAGGATATTCATGCCCACAAAAATAAAAACAAGCTTCACTCGGCCTAATGCCACAGACACTTCAAAATGGCTTTTACAGGGGAACATGAAAGTGTTTCAGGTACGTGTATGACATCATGAACATGCAATATGACCTTTTCTACTCCATCTGGTTTGATTTTGTAGGACACTTACTGCCGGAGCATTGGTGTGGAGTACATGTTTATCAATGACAGGCAGCAGTGTGATTGGATTAGAGAGCGGTTTGAAACGCCTGGTGCCATGCAGTTCACCAAAATGGACAAACGGCTGATCCTTGAGCGGCTGATACGCTCCACCAGGTATACTGTGCAGTACAATATGGGTCGCAAAATTGAATGTTTCTTAGAAAAAATAAATCAGCCCCTATCCCTATTTTTCTCTTTTTATGATGCTTACTGTCATGTTCATTTTTTATGGGCACAGTACATGAGTATTGACAAAAGTATGAAAAAGTCAGGAAACTAAAAGGCCTCAGTGTCAGTACGAATATATGTGACCTGTCACCACAAAATGAGCTGAAATTCAGAATTTTCAAAAATTGAGATATTGGTATTCTTGGGTTCAGTAGAAAAAGAGTTCTCCAATAGTATGTACATGGAACTATATAGAAGTATAAGTTGACCATGTGACATTATTCTGGCAGCTTTGCGTCTTTGTTCCCGATATTGTTTCAACAATTCAGACCAGGTATCCATAATGCAGTTGTCAAAACTGCTGTGAAAATGACAGTTTTAACTATATGATCTTGAGAAATATTTGGAATTAAATAGGAGACAGGTTAGTCTTTCCAAATATTTACAAAATCCCCAAATTAACCTCCACTTCAATATGATTTTGAACCTTCAAAATAGGAAAGAGCGGAATGCGACTTTAGGCTTATTTTGTTGTGACAGGTCACATATTTCCTTCCTTCTTTGGCACACTGCTTGTGTGGCTTTGTTTTCGTTTTGGTTTTAAGTATTGAGAAAGAACCACAGATACCCATTTAAGCTGTCATGGTTTTAGTGTAGTGTAGCCCTTCATACATGTACATGTTCATCAAATTTAATACTGTCACATAAACTACATTGCTTGACTCTTGAATATTCTAGTTTTATGCTACTTGTCTTTACATGTACATGTACCGTAGATGTTTTGGATTATTCACTATAATAAAAAAGGCTTCTTGTTGTCTTTGCCCTACTCAGATTCGAGGAGTTTCTGGCCCGGAAGTGGTCGGCTGAGAAACGCTTTGGCCTGGAGGGATGTGAAGTCCTGGTGCCTGCCTTGAAGAGCATTATTGATGTCTGCAGTGGCCAGGGAGTCGAGAGCTTTGTGATTGGTATGCCGCATCGGTGAGTGATTATTATCTTGCTGAGGAGATGACATTAAGTGAGACATTTGATCAATCACTACCTGTGATTCTAACACTATTTGTGATACCAAGTACTTTTTTCATACTCAACAGTCATATAAACTCTTGCATTGAATGTCTATTGCATCAAAGTGACTTCTAGAGTGTCTTTTATTTCTAAAGAGGTACTCAAAAGGCCTACAATATTTCAACGTCCAAAAACCAATATGCAATAAATTCATTGGCCGAAAATCAAGACAAGAGAAATAAGAGGCATTATCTTTCCACAAGCAACTGGAATGATTTCAGAAACATGCGAGGCCAAATTTCGTGTTTGTGTTGGTTTGATGATGTAACCAGGGAAATGCAGAACTGGCATGCATGAACATACATTTAAAGCTGGTTTTGTTGTGCCTCAAATCAGCGAATCGAGGAGTTACGATGACGTACAGAAATGATGCCCAAACCTAAAATCTTATCGTCAGCTCGTCAAAATAGGGGTGAAAGGAGTACAAGTCATTGGTGGTAGAGTGGAACATAACATACATGTATTTACTTTACATACATGTACATGTCATTGCATGTGCACTTGTGTTCACATGGCAACATACTGTTCATACACTTGAAGAATTTAATGTACATGTAGTCAGTGTATGATATGCAACCTCTAGAAAAACACAGCAACCCACGTCCGTGCCTTTTTACTCAATGTGTTGCAGAAAAAGTGGTAAACACATAACAGATTCTTACAGTGAAAGTGAGTGGATTCAATTCCCATGACAGTAACTATAATTTATTCATAACTATAATTCACTCATGGTCCGCAAGACTGTGACAGTTGTCAGCAAGATCAGACAGTTGGCAAGATCAGAGAAAGCCTGCAGTGTCAGAGGTTTATTGGGCTGAACACTGCCACAATTTACATCCTTTGATTTTCCCTTGAGCAGCCCGCATCCAGTACAATTCTAGGAAAAGGCACAAACGTTCTTCTTTTATCTCGGACAAGACATTGTCTATAACAAAAACAACTAACCACATGTACTTAATTATAATTTACAGCTTCATTTTTGTCATTATATCGGCGCTTTTGATATATCAATTTCAATATAAAAATGATATCATTCATATCTTTATCAAAATGAAATCGACATATTGGATATTATCGATATATTGACGGACCTTACAAAGAGATTTTGTATCCATGCGGAACTAGTTAAACCATATTCTTCCAGGATTAAACCGATCTATAGCGAGGAAGAGATTTGTCATCACTTTTATTGACCCTATAAACACATATTAAAAGTTTCAATTTGAAATTAATTTTGGAGTATCTTCTGCACACAAGGTGGACTACTGACCACATACATGTACATGTATCACAGGAGTTTGAGGATTATATGACATGTTTGACCAGCAATTAGACTAAATTAGACTAAATTCCCAAAATTGTGGTGATATTGGGAAATGACTGTAGCCTTTGCTAGGGATTCACACTGGCTTGCTCCTTTGGCTTGACTACCGTTGTCCTGGTAAGGCTTCCCCAGGGCAGTGCATTCAACTGTCTGGCCTACATGTACATGTATGTGGGACCATGACCTTTTAAGAACACTTGGAAAAGATCAGTAACATATTGTGTGGTCATTAACCATGTTGAAAATTGCAGCCAAAAAACATGGTGTGTGAAGTGACAGTAAAGAGCCCATAATACCTTTCCATTGCTGGACAAGGCTTGTGGTTTATAATCTTTTTAGTCCTTACTTAATCAAGTACCATGCATTATCTGGCCAATACATGTCACACAGTAGGAGAACTGATCCAGGTAGGCCTACTGTGTTTCCTGTATTGTCAGCAGTACCTTAATTCTCTTTATTTCTAATTAGGTACGTGTACGTGTACATATTTACATTAACATCAATAAGAGTTCAGGCAATGCATTCAAAGTGAAATACTGGTGTGTCACAAGTTGTTTTTAAATGGAGTCACATTTCCATCTGTCCCTCACAGATACATATCTGTCCTTCACATTTAAATGACCTGTAGTCTTTACTTTCCTGTCAGTGGAACTGATCTCATTTTGTACCTTGTCAAGTTAAGAGGTGAAAGTTAATGTGTTGATTTACATTGAGAACAGTCAAGAATGTTTCCAATTTTATAAGAATTTAGAATCTGTTATGTTTGAAGGTAATCAGTGTTATTGATATCAGGCCCAGAGGCCTTTAACCCCTTTGCGTAAAAAAGAGATCCTCGAGGCCTTTAACCCCTTTGCGTAAAAAAGAGATCCTCAACCCGCTTTTCAGCTATTATTCTTTGTCCATGCTCGAGCGAACACGGTGAAAAAAGGCAGACCCTGGCTCTTGTAGTGGTGATTGGCCTTTGTGTGTAGCCCAGAAAAGAAAGACCAAATTTGCATCGTAATCACCAGCTTCACAATAGTCCCAACTTTGAAAAGAGGCAACGGGAAAGTGGAAGCGTGAGTAGAGCCACATGCCACCGAACAATGAGCCTTTTCACTGTGTAATTCAAAGCATGCAGAGCACGGAGGGCCGCAAACGAGAATTTTGCAGTTTGGCAGGTGGCCTTTGTGGCCAAGCGAGGCTGGAATTCTCGGAGTCGGCTTTCAAAAAAAAAATTCCCGTCATCAAGGGGTTAAATCTGCTCTTACAAAAAGCAAAACAAAACATGTAAATACCTGTGTCAGGGCCAAATTTAACGTGGATGTTACTGAGAATAAGTATTCAAGAAATCTTTGAGAGAGCAAAGATGTCTGTTCCTCGAGAGGGATGGATTCGGATCACACCCTCCACTTAACACTTCGGATGTAAAGTTGAGGTACATAAAGTATGTGCAAGCTGTATTAAGTCACCGTGATCTGCATGGAATCCTGTGAATTTTTGTGGACTTTTCTTTTTTCTAAAAATACTGCAAATTTTGTGCATGTTCTAATAGTGAAAGGTACAATGTAGCACATTGTTAAGAACTTGGATATTATTTTGGTATGAACATTGATTATCTCAACACGGGTTTAAAAAACACAGAACTCACAAAGGAAGGACAGCGGTTAACTTAAAATTAAATTGACCTTTCGAAAACCAGAAAACGCAACAAAAGCATTTTATATACAAAGGACAAATTATACAATCATAAATGCATTGAAATAATAAAAGGGTACCAGTATCCAAGTGAAATGTGTGGAGGGACGTTGTGTTGGGAGCCTGGTACAGTCACCTTGGCCGGTCTTGGGTCCCAAGCAGGGCATAGTGGTCATCCAGGCTGACCGTTGTGGTCTTGATAGACGGTGGTGAGCGGCAGACCTCGGTCTTGAGCGGGCCTCACAGGAATTCAAGCGGGAGCTCAGGCTTGATGCGACTTCATCTTGGCTTGGCATGACCGGATCATGGCCCCTTGGGTGTGGGCCATGCGAGCCGCTGACGATAGGTGGAAAGCTGGAGAGTGGCAGCAGATGATACGCCCCTCGTGGAAAGTAAAGCTCTGCTGCTACGTTGACACACCCAGGTTTATAACAGAATGTGTTACAATGCTTAACCAAAAGCAATATTATGCACACAAGGACTCGAAAATATGCCATTCATCTAAGGTGGATGTAACATGCATAAGTCTAAGTTCTACTGTGGAAATGCAGAATAGCCTTATTTTCTGTTCTTGTAGAGAATTAAACCTTTGGTTTTATTTACTTTCATTTTACACCTGTACATGCACACCCATTTTTGTACATGTACATGTAGTATGGACTTGTCTTCATTCTCCTGAGGACTTGAGGAGGTTCACATAACAAACCCTGCATGTACATACATGTACATGTTATGTGGGCTTCTCTTATGCAGAGGTCCAAACTACAGTACTTGTACATGTATGTTACACTTTCACAGCCTTCAGGTATAAAGATTTGCTTGAATTATCGATGGCATGTTGAGCTGAAATTGTTCTGACTTATTTCTGTGGAAAACTTGCATACAAAGCATGTTTTTGATGACTATTTGACCATTTCTGTACCCTTCTTCCCCAGTGGTCGTCTGAACGTCCTTGCCAATGTTGCACGCAAACCCTTGGAGCACCTATTCTGCCAATTTGATTCCAAGCTGGAAGCAGCTGATGAAGTGAGTGCAGCACAAGTAGTAAAAGAGAATAGAAACAAATGCTTTCTTTATTGGTCAGTACCTCTGCCAATTCTTCGACCGATCGGATTTCTTAAGCTGATTTTCTTGCTTACAAAGGCCCCGTTGTCTTTTTTGGGTTTGCTACACAGTATATGTAATAATAATTATTATTATTTTATATAGTGCTTTTAACTAAGATCAAAGTGCTTTCCATTATTACCAGTAGTTGGGCCGCAGCAAAGTACAACACAAAGTCCCTAGAAGGTAGAGTGTGTAATATACATGTATAATAAACAGAAAAGACATTAAAAGAACAATTTAACATGCACAACAATGTACCAAATGCAAAAGAATACACACATACCGACATATAACACTGGATAATCAATGTTTATTGAGAGCTTGCAAGAAAATTCACAAGTTTACAATTATCCATTTTTTAAAACTTATATACATGTATATCAGTGTGAGGGCAAATTAATGACTTCCCAATGTAAAATACATCTTGTAATACATGAAGTTTGCGGTACCTGCTGTTATTTCTGACTTGGACCGACCAGTCAACCCCAGCAAGCTCGGTGATGAGTGGTTAAGGATAATTCCAAAAATTAGGGGTCCATTTTGTTCTTGTCCCTGTCACATCTGACTTACCGGTACGATTTTGTAAATTCAGAACACATTTTCTAATTACAAAGAGAGATGAAATAACGCAAATTACCTGCCAAACAAATACTTATATAGTTTGAAATCGATTCTGGTGATATTTCCATGTCAAATAACAAAGGTCAGATGTAACGGGGACAGAAAGTCACTAACTTTTAGACCCCTAATTTCTGGAATTACCCTTAAAATGTTTGTAGTAGTAAGCAGGAGTTTGTGGATTCAAGTCCCTCCCAATTTTGGGAATTTTTTCACAAGCTCTCAGATAAACACAGAGTATCCAAAGCTACATGCTTTCTAGCGGAAAACTTGGTATCATCTCAAAGTAGAGAACAAATGCTTTCCATGATACCTCATTCATGATTTTACCGTTAACCCATCACTGAGCACCAGTGTGTTGAAGTTTTGGTGCATAATTGGGGATAGCTCACTTTCCAGGTCGATGAAATCTACATTGCCTTTTTCATAATTGATTTGGTTGTGAGTGGAAATGTCTTCGCTGAGTGCTTTGACAAGTCTTCAGACAGTGTGCGAACCTGAGATCACAATAATGCAGCTTTCAGCAGAATGGTGAATCTTTGTGCTGAAGACTGACCACAAATGCAGGCATTTCAGCAGATACCATCCGACAAGCTAAGAATAACAAGAGACATTGATACCCATTGTGTTCAGAGAGGGGAGGGAGTCACGTCGAGGGCATTGGACAATGCAAAATGAAATGTCTTTGAAAATGTCTTGACTGGATTAAAGGGAAAAAATCTGGGGAATTTTGTCTTATGTCAGAGTGAGCCTTCACCTAAATTTCAACACATTGGTGCCCAGTGATGCATAATGGTAAAATCATGGATGAGGTATCATTGGAAAGCATATGTTCTCTGCTTTGAGATGATACCAAGTTTTCTGCCAGAAAGTGTGTAGCTTTGCCACAGTAACCATTTAAAATTGGGCTTTTTTTTTTTAATACACCTGTATATGTACACCTTACATTTTTGTGAGGGCAAAATCTGTTTTTAAAATGAACATCTTTGGATGGAAACTACATGTACATCTTGTTCCATTAAAGTGCAGAAGTTGATCCCAATATTACCAGAGAGCACTCTGACAACAAAAATTGTCATTTCTGTTTGGTCGTTCTTGCCCCTCATCCCAGGGTTCAGGTGATGTCAAGTACCACCTTGGCATGTCCCACTCGCGCTTGAACCACATCACCAAGAAAGACATCCACATTGCCATTGTGGCCAATCCCTCTCATCTGGAGGCTGTGGATCCGGTGGTGCAGGGCAAAGTCCGTGCTGAGCAGTTCTACCGAGGGGACACTGAGGGTAAACGGGTAGGTCCGATACCACTCACTTTTGTGAAACCAAAACAAGTTATTGTGTACTTTCCTTAGCAATAACTACACGTGTTTGGCTGGTCTTAAAGGACGATTAAAACTGGCAAGGAAAATAAAGTTTGAAAGTTTCAATAAAACACTTGAAAGTTGTGCTTTATAATAAAAATCATTTCTGCATGGCCTGGATATAATACGCAGTTGAAGTTATCATGGCATTCACTTCAGTAATTTATGTAAAAAAATTTCGGCTGGCGGATACATTAAACAGCTGTGTAGGACATGTAGACCTACTGTATTCTGGTGCATGCGTGCACTTGCACTTCATCTGAACTTTTCAGGCTTTGGCAAGAAGTTTACATTTATTCTTATTTGATTTTTTTAAAATACCATATTTTCAAATGGCTTGATATGTGGTTCTGGTTCTGTTTTTGGTCTGACATCAAAATGAGCTCCATCTTTATTTAAAATTCCATGCTTGTATTGGCTATTTTCATTGTCAGTCCAACAATTTGTTGGCCTGGCATGAGCCAGGGCAAAATGCCACACTGTTTCATCAACTTTAACCCTAACTGTCCCTAGTCCTCCAACAGGTGAAGGATTGAGGACTGTTTGGGTTAATGCTGCGTATCGTGAGTTGGTAACGATGGATTTCTTATCTCATTGGTAGAAGTGCAAATTACAACGTAAAGATGAAACGTACTGCCCATTTTTTGGCTCAACCAATCAAACTGTTGCCACAGAACATATCAGTCAGTTTTTGTTGTTTCTTTGCATTTTGTGAAAAAGGCATTCTTTTTGTCAAGATTTTTTTTTCTTCTACCCCTGTTCTTCTCTCCAAAACCCCATTTCTTTTATACACAGTTTTTCTGCGCAGCACTTTAGTCCCTTTGCAAGTTTGGATCTTTATCAAAGTTGCCTCAATCAAAGACCCTATAGCAAATGCGTCCCAAAGTGTGATGCCATGATGACACCATCACTTGATTTTTTTATTGAATTTTGAATATTTAATTTTCCCATATGTTTTATACACGTTTTCAAAGCAACATTTTAGTTCTTCAGCAAACTTCAAATGTCATTAAAGTTACACGGCGTAGAGACCTTGATGCTAAGATAATTTTAAAATAATTACATCATGATGACATGATCATGGGATTTATTATTACATGTAGATTTTGAATATTTAAATATTATTGTAAATTTCTAAAACCATATAAAATCAACCGTGGCTTCCCGCAACATTCTCTTTGGGACAAGTGGCAGAGTAAAGCTTGGTCTGCAACTCGTCTCTTGAAGGTCAAAGCACGTGACCCTTTTGGTCGAAACCTGAAGTGGGCTTATTATTTAAAAGTGGTAATAGGTATCAATTTGTTTTCAACAGTGTTAGTCGGGGGGGTATAGTACATGTACATGTTTTCTTCAAATCGTCTACTGATGACATCACATAATTGTCAAGCCCCCTCTAGTGACAAGTTAAAAATTCTGATAAATGAATTTTGAATAGATGTCTGTGGAAAGTAAACTTTCCATGGGATTGAAATTTTGCAGATATCTTGAAGATGTGTGATAGACAAAAATTGACCTGATGGGATGATGACATCATCAGTTGATAAGTCACGTTACATTAAAGTTGCGTAATTTAAAGCCATTTATCTCCAAAAGAAAACTCCCAGCCGGTTGGAACTTTGTACATATCTACGCTGTAGAAGAGAATGTGTGATAGACTATAATTGACCAATAAGATAATAGTGTGATCAATTGACAAGTCATGTGATATTAAACATGCATAATTTAAAGCCCTTTACTCCTAAAGCACATGCCCCAGTGAGTTGAAACTTTGCAGATATCTAGAAGAGGATGTGTGATAGACAAAAATTGGCCTCATGGGATGATGACGTCATCAGTTGACAAATCATGTGACATCAAAAGTACTTCCTTTAAAAGCCCTATATCTCCTGAAGTGCATCTTCGATTGGATTGAAGCTTTGCAAATGTGGCAGATTCCTCAAAATATGGACCGTTAGATAATGTTCAACTTTGGGGGTTCATTTTTCTGGAAGTGAACAGCAGTGAATTAATTTCCAATGTTTGATGTAATGAGGGAAGTCATGGCTGACATCTGGAACAATGATGAACGTGCCAACCTTTCAACTTAATTGGAGTTAATTAATTAAAGTCTCGAACGTTAGCAATTTTGATGGACATGAACTCCGTGTTAAAATCTGAGCCAATAGAATTTACTGAGGACTGATAATCCCTGAGGTTATTTTACACAGATTTATATGTGGTGAAAGGTGATACTATTTACTAATTATCCCCATATAATCATTTTTATATATCTGAAGGTGCTAATTTGTATTTTACATGATCAAAGTCACTCTTTAGAAGTTGTGAAAAAATGACACCCGGAGTTGCATTTTGGTTCATTTTATGAAGAATATGCCATATGCAATAATGGCAATGACATTTCTATACAAAGCTCAGAAATGTGGAAAAGTCCTATGTTCTGTTGCAAACAGACAAAGAAGCTCTTGTCTTGTTTTGTGTTTGTTTTTTCCCCGTATACCCCACACCTTCAGGAAAGCATGCCATGCCAAGGAAACACACAATCCTTTGCAGGCTACTAGAAGAGACTTTGTGATTGGTCAGAATGTGATACATGTATGATTTTAATATCTGTTTGATAAAAAACTGCTGATATGTAACTCGCAAATTCAAACTTAGGTCTCCTTTATCCCTTTCAATTCGTGACAATTTATTGACTCTGCCACATCTTTATTAGATGATTTGGACATATTTCATCCGACAGTGCCCTCCATGTTCTCTTTACAGTGTGACTTAGGACTTTAAAGCTAATTCGAAATGGAAGAAAGTACGTTATGCAAGCTTTTCTTCTTTAAATTCTACAAAAATGAGAAAAGACTGTCTTTGTTGTACTTGCCATGTATCTGGATTTACATGTATGTTTGTCATCGCAGCTACTGCTGCTGTTGTGTGCCCCCTTGTTGTTTAGGTGGTACATGTATTTATTTCTACTCTTCTCTCTTCCAACAAATGGAAACAAAGGTATTTTCCTTGTAAAGTTGGCATTGTAGGCCAACTAATATTCCATAATTTGGCTACTGTGTTTAATAAACCAATAATAATCGTAATAATAGTAACAGTATGTGTATATCAACATTCATCTTGGTAACCCCCCTTTCCTGGCTCAGTATTGCAAAGTTTGTGCCAGTGGTGCCCATGTCCACCAACATTTATGGGACAGTGGAAGACAAAAGAGGTAAATGCAAATGCCATGGAACATCAACTGATATTGAAAACTTTCAATAGAATTTAAAGGAAAAAATCTTTTTGGTGATCTTCTTTTAACTCTTTTTTGCTGTTTGCTCATGTCTCTGCCCAGTCCTGTTAGCAAGGAATCTTACAGCAGGTTGTCTTATATTTGTCTTCTGACAACTAATCAGAAGCCGTATCAACTTTTTCAACAGGTGATGAGCATCCTAATGCACGGTGATGCTGCATTTGCTGGCCAGGGCATTGTCTATGAGACGTTTCATCTGTCAGACCTGCCAGATTACTCCACCCATGGCACCATCCATGTTGTGGTCAACAACCAGGTCAGTCAGGTTCCAACAAACTGTTTAAACTGTAATGACTCTCCGGTGTAGAGGCTAAGGGGAGGAAAATGCTGGTTACTACAGTTACAAATCAGGCCACTTCCACATCTTGTGTCCAGAGTTACATGTCTTGGATTCTCTGGTTGCAAGTGTGTTGGTGTATGCTGAGAACAGAGCTGTAGCTGTAGCATGAAACATATTCTGGTCATGACCAGAGTTTCCCTCACCAGAAATATTCAAAATTTACCACTTCTGTGTGAGTTAAAGAGGAAAAGGAATAAAAGTTGAAGTACACCTTCATTGGCAAAGAAGAGAGGGCTTGGTGGGATGTTTTCCACTTTAGCTTTGCACAAACCCAGGGGCCAATTTCATAGAGCTGCTTAAACACAAGAAAACTTTGCTAATAAATCAGGTAACCAGCCAAAACTCCATGTGATGTATATTGTTTTGGGATCATATTTACCTGTCTTTTGGTTAGCATGACAATCAGATAGAGTTTGAGCTGGTGACGTCTGTTTATGAAATTGGCCCTAGCATACAGTACATTGCGATTGAAAATTAACACCAAAATGGGAAAATCTTTTCACATTTTTTTCCCCAGGGAATTCCTTTGTCATTTCACAAATTGTAAAAACCTGTGCCAAAATTGGGAAAAGATTTTCACACCTTTTCACTCAAGTGGGAAAATATTTTCACAGATTTTCCCCTAACAAGTGGAACAAGATAATTTCAACATTGTTCAAAGCAGTCTATTTCTCTGTTTTGGGCAAAATACATTGCGACAGGCGAAATCAGAGTTGGCTATGGTGGAGGTCGGAGACCAGCACTGTACACCATACCGAACAGCTGAATTACAGTAGATTCCAGTTATAGCACTCTCATGGGGACAGAATTGAGTGTTATAACCTCACAGCGCTATAACCAACCGGATGGATGCGCAACATGTGCACTGCACATGTGCACATGTATATTTACCCACATGTTGTCATGTACATGTATGTGAATTATGTTTACATGTATTGGCAGATGTTTGTACCGTAATTTTGGAATATATGCCTTGTATCCGGCTATCTCGACATTTTTGTGACACTGATGAAAACAAAATATCACCAAAGCTCTTCAAAAATCACCATGGGACCTTGTGCATGCTGCATTGCGAAGTACACACTGCATCTACACCTACTGTACATGTACCCCGACATCCTGACTACTAACTGCGTACCCATTCGTGGACAGTCCAATCGCTGACTTTTTCCAATACCATGTGACCACAGAATGTAATATGTCATCAGCAAACCCCAGTGAAAACAAACCCGACTTGCACACCGAACACAATCGGCAAAAAAATGAGATTTGCAACACGAAGCTAAGATACGTGTACAAATTAAGCAGCTAATTTTATTTATCAGAAAGAAATCTATAGGTAACAAAACACTACATGTTGTATCTCAGTGTTGATTATTTGTGTCCAAAATTATACCACGAGAATAAACAAAAAGTGGGAAGAAAATTCACAACAATGTCGCCACAGCAGAGCAAGTTAAATTTGATATAATTACACATTTCATGTGTTCTGTAACTTCATGACTCGGGGACTCCCGTAAAATTACTCAAAATCTGGACAGCTTCTTTTAAATTTATTCTCTGACGTTGACAAGTGTTTGTTTATTGTAATCCAAGAAAACAACTGTACTGCGCGGGCGGTGCTCGCTGTGGTGAGCACATGCTTACAATTGTGCTGCATGGACGGCCGAGTGCTTGTCTGCACTTAGTGATGGTGTGATCACTACTACTAGCACCAGAGTACTGGTGCTCAATAGCACACTCCATGTGGTGAGTTGGCCCCGGCCCCAAGCGCAGCACACCCTTTGTGCACGTGTGTGTGGGGCCAGCGTGGAGCATTTCACTGCACCATGCTTCTTGCTTTCACAAGTTTCTGCATTATTTTAGCAACCATTTACAAAAGTGTCACACCACCTTCCCACTGTTTTCGCACACTTCCGCAATGTTTTCACAAATGTTTTACGCCGCATTTGCAAATATTTTCACAGTTTTTGCATGATTTTTGCACTATTTTTCGTATGTCGTTCGCCTGTTTTGCATCCGATTTGCTGCAATTCACTGTGAATTTGCTGCCCAGGGGGAAAAGGCAGAGGGCGAATTCTTTTCTCATTTTTTTCCATTCCTTTTCGCAGCGTTAACTTTCAAATGAAATATAATGTACGTGTGCATGACTGTACATTAAAACAGAAATTGTTTGCATATATTCATCAAGTCATACAAAAAAGTGCACAAATCTGTGCAGGCACATTGTGAGTCTCCACCAAAGGATTATTGTTATTTTTATGACAAAATACAGTTTCTTGAAGTGCGCCTGTGTCTCTACATACACAGAAAGATGTCAGGGGTCAGGTGGCATAAGTGTAGAATGCTGATTGGTCAGTAAGAAGCTAGATGTTTGTGTCATGTCCTCATTAAAAGTGGACCTCTCTCATAGCATTTAAGCACAAGATGGTTTTCTTTGCATGGACAGTCAATCCAGTGTATATACTGCAGATAAGTATATGTACATAGAAGGTGGGAAGATGCAGTTTATATCCTGTTACGGTATCCAAGGGGTAAATCAATCAGCATAAAGCATTGGGTTTTCTTTGAGGCAGTCAAGTTACCGGTAGGTCACGTGTAGCTGGACCCTCTACATATAAACTTAATGTTTGCTTCATGGAAAGTACGGTAGGAAGGCAGGTGTAATGTACGTAATTGTTTTGTCTTTCTCTTCTCCCTCTTCCCCCAGATTGGTTTTACAACTGACCCTCGCTATGCCCGATCCTCTCCCTACTGCACAGACGTAGCCCGTGTGGTGAACGCACCCATCTTCCATGTGAATGCTGATGACCCAGAGGCTGTGATGTATGTGTGTCAGATTGCCTCACAGTGGAGATGTACCTATGGCAAGGATGTAGTGATTGACTTGGTAAATACATGTACATGTATCTGTGCACCTTAGTCTGTATTTGCATTGTGTGTCTACAGTTTAGTTCCAAATTGTTATCATTTTTATGGTCTTTCTCCCGAAAAAAATCTACAAGAAGCCCCTTTGTTAATCTTCCTAAATCCTGCCCAGCATAGTTCATATTAATCAATTGCTGGTTAGAACAACTGACAACAGTTGACTGATGTATTGTGAGATATGAGGTTTTGAAAACCGAAGGACCAATAAGCGGCAGAGGCCTACCCTAGGTTGTTGCAAATTCCACATCACACAAGTCAACAATTGTTTTGCCATGTCTCTGTCTCGGTGATGTTTTTCACTTGCTTTTCTAAGCGTGCTAAAAGGAAAATCAAGGATGACAAAGGAATCTAGGAACATTGACATTAGCCTGTACACCAGGGGGCAGGCGCTCACATGTGTTCTTATGGTGTTAAACAATGCTGGCTAACATGGCTAATGTAATGTCTAACGGTGAATGTGACATGGTTATGTCACCATGTCACTTGATCATCGTGTGCCAGTGTAAAAACAGGTTTTCAGACAGTAAGTGTTGGTAAGAAGAGGTATGGCAGTAAGTGTTGAATAGCATGCTGATAAACATCTGTGCTCACTGTGTGTGCCATTCATTTGGATAAACCTGCTGTTGCAGTTTCCTTTACTACAGCGGCTGCTTGGCTAAACTGGCCGCCGTTGCTTTGTCCAAGTTTGATTCTCACATAAACATACCGTAACCACATCTTGCTATTGCCGTCACTGCGTAGCGCGGCAACCCAGCTCAACTCATTTGTGCACAATTACTTTGCCGTGAAATCTGTGTACTCAGGCCTCAAATATGAAGTGCACCCTCTGTTGATTTTGAAATCCCCTGTAGTTTACAGGGATGTAAGATTTCCAGAAATTTCCGGAAATGGCATGAAAAGTTACCATTTTCCGGAAATGGCAAAATGTTCATTTTCCACTTTGCTAATGTACATTTATACGTACACAATCCAAGCCAGCATGCGCAGGCGGCCTGCGTTTTGATCTTCACGAACACGGCAGATCATGTATTTGTGCAAGCACAGCCTACAGTGTGCATGTATACTACTCACCAACTTAAGCGTGCCCAGGCTTCACCTTTATATGCACTTATCACTTGAATCATTCCGAGAGCATACTGCTGACGCGTACTGTTTATCATCGTAGGAACAAGGTTAATGCAACCTTCGACCTGTCCTTGGTTTGATGGTTCCCATTGTGATCCCATCACTGGTAATGGAGTTGCGAATGTGATACCACCGGGAACCGCTGATTAATCGCGTGTTGAATCAATGGCAACGTATTTTTCATGCGTGTGTTGTGAATTGTGCGAACGATCGTGTGTGGAGTTTTCAGTGACAAGTTACCGTGTGTTTTTTTTAGAAATTTTTGATCAACATGGAAGTTGATTGGAAAGCAGATATCAAAGAAATTGACAAGGGAATCAAGAATAAATTCAAGTGGACATGGCTCGAGGAAAAGGACCAGGATGGATATTTGCATCGGACTATGTGCGAGTAATGGTGTCAAGCCAAATGCATCATCTTTAACTACGTAGTATGTAATTACTTTTTGTCAAGGGGCAGGAAGGCAATAATTGGACATGGTAACTCTGAAACCCACCAGCGTAAGAGGAAGGACAGAGATTCAAACCAAACATTACCAAGTATGTTCAAGTTCCAGCTAGAAATCAATCTTATTACATCCGAGTGCCCAGACTAAAATATTGTTCACTTCTTATGCTTGTTGCTGCATTGTTGTACATGTGTAGTGTTTGTTTCAATCGTGGGCTCTTGGTTTTAATCGTTGATTTCTAAGTGTACATGTAACTTGTGTTCCATCATGAATAAAGTTACAAAGATGTGCCATTGGAGAGGAAGGTGTGTGCTAAAGGCAAGTACAGTCTGGAAGACATGTGCATGTAAATAGAAGAAAGAATTTCATACACCAAACTCTTGCCAGCATCCTGTCAGCTTTACAAGTCTTGCTCTGCATTAGGTCTACTGAGTGGAGCATTAGTTTTCCTCTTTTTTGAATTTTGGACTGGATTGGTCATACTAAAGCTCCATAACCTTACATTATAGTAAAGTGACAATGGTTCTCAAAAATTCCAAAGACTCAACAAAAACACCTTTGTCACCACCTACTGGCTTTCTTTCTTCATGTATGCCAAAGTCAAACTGTTAGGGCTTCAATGATATACCAGACTTTTAAAATCTGTCAAAATCGGACTATTTTTGCTTTTTGACGCCTCCTCCCATTCAAATATCTGTGCCGAGATTTTGCTGCTACAGTAACTTTATGGGCGAATATGGTCCTGTAATGAAACAGAACATGGTCCTCTAATGAAACACGCAGGGGTGGCCTGTATGTACTGTAGTCGGGGCATAAGACGTGTTAACGTCATGTTTGGGAGTGCTACCAACGAGTGTCTCCTGAAGTTTTGCGCCCGTGCTGGAGCGCAGCACCTTGCCCGCCTGGCAAAATCAGTTTTCCCCCCGGAGTTGCCTTCGATCGAGCACGAGTCTGACTGTGATCAGCATCTAATCAAAATTTTGTTTGCACAGCCATTTATGACATCATTAGCCTGATATGGAACCTGAGGGCGTGGCTATCGGAGATTGACAAACATAATGCTAAATCTGAATATAAATAAGCACAATTGGATGTAGTGAGAATGTAGATCTGTTGTACAGCGGAAAGGCTGTACATTACATGTTCTCGGTTGATTATTAGTGAATTCTCACCACATGGTTTTTACAACCATCGTGTGATGTGGGGGCCATTGTAGGTTTACTGTACGTATACGTGTATGTACATGTACAGTACATGTACATTTATAGTACACACGTGCCAAGCGGGTGCAGTACAACTCATTATCCATTTTTCGTTGTGTTTGCTTTTTTTGTCATGTTTTCTTGAATGCACTCTGTGTGCCGTCAATGCCATGCCATGTTAAAGTCGAACATCCGAACTAACCAGTTTGGTTCGGTTTGGTTCAGTTCGAAAGTGCCATGTTTTACTATTTTTGGTTCGGTTCGGCTGCAGCACTAACGTAACTGTATCTGTATCGACTTTTACACCAAACTCTTGCCAGTATCCATTGACTGTACATGTATGTAGAGTTACATAGATTTCTTTTTGCCATTCTTTTGTCTTGAGAGCAACATAAATTAAAAGAAAAAGAAGTGATGCACATGCTTGTGGCTGGCGCGTTGTTTCGGCCAGTGGTGGGATGAATGAATGGGCATTCCTTTCTCAGATTTCGGTCTCTTAATCATCTTGACTGGTCCTGCTTCAGCTCTGTTAATTTTCTTGTCATCAGAATCAGACGCCAAATCATTGGTCTCATACTCCTTCACAGTTTGCCATCCACCTAAGCTGGAATCTGCGAGGATTAGCTTCTGTCTGGCCGACATTTTTGGTGTGGCCAAGTCAATGTTAGTGCCTACCGAGGCCAAATCTCCTGCTATGCATGCTTCTGAGGCTTTGATGAGGATTTCCAGGACTTCACCATTAAACTTGAATTGTTTCTGGTTTCCTTCACGTTTCCACTTGATAGATGTTGCTGTCTTGATATTTTTGTTTAAAGCTTGAACTGATTCTCGTTGATAGTTGATTATTTCTTGTCGTAAGAGTGCACATGAGTCTTTAAATGACCGCTGCATTTCACTTGGTGTAGCTTTGAAGTGTGTGGAGTATGCGTTTAGTAGATTCAGTGCCTTCCATGGTTGACTGATTCGTGAACAATATGTCATGCCAGGTGCCTGTCTGTAACGCAGATGATGAATTCCTGTCCAGACTACACTTTTCTAGCGACTTACCACGATACATTACTACTATCATTACATTACTATCATTTGCAGAGTGATATCCCACAATCAAGAACTTAATTTTGTCTCTAATCTGCACTCAACGGAATGAAATTATATGTTTTTGTTTCAGATTGATATATTTATTTGGTATTATTTAAATGGAGGGTTAGAGGGTATGTGTGTGGTCACATACAGATGAATGCATGTGTCGTCTATAAAGTCGTGAGCGTACATGTGTACAACCTTGCTATAGTGACCACCTGCCATAATGACCACATATAGCTGGTACCGCGGGTGGCCTCTACACACCATTCCAAGAGTGGTTTCCATAAGGGAAACCTCATTTGGCCAGCTATAAATTCTAAAAAAAGGGAAGCTTCCTACCAGCGTTCAATGCGTGCAAATCATCAGCTGCAAATCACCTAACGAATCCAAGGTAAAGTTGGTGTGTTACAAAACATAGCTTAATGTCATTAAGCTAATTTATGATTCTGATAAGGCCTATTTTTTACACATAATTTTTTTGAGCATCTCGGCAAGATTTCCATATATGGACATCATCACTAAGTCTTGACACCCTGTGCACAAACTCTACTAGCCTCGTCTAGAAACTTGTGTTTTCTAAGTAAGTTATTCAATATTTTCACTGCTAAATATGACTCTTGGGGGCATGTTGTCACTTTCTGATGGCTTATACATGTACATGTGCATGTTATAAACCACTGTTAGAGAAAATAAGTGGTGTCCATATAGAAACTCTTACCAGAAACTCTTATGGAACTCTTACCAGCATCTCTTGTTTTTTCTGCTTATTTTTCACCCAGTGATGTGCACAAAAATTGCGGAAAGGTCTCTTGCTAGGGAACTGAAAATGAAATCATAATTGGATTAATTTGTCACTTAAAAATCATCTAATTGACTGCTTATCAGTGAAAAAGTATAGCATTCTCTATCTTCAGATGTTTTATTATCCTGTAATTTAAAGCGATAGTCAAATGGATTCTGTCCGTGCAGTAAACAAACAGATGCCCTTGTGCAGGTGTGTTGTTTGAATTTTAGTCAGGACTGATTTTATATTGTCTACTTTCAGAAATTCATGACTACTTGATCCATGCCCCTGCCAGTGATGCCCAACCAAACTCTACTCAC